CCTCTGTCTCTCTAGTGAGCACACACACCCTATAGCAAAAATCTCTCTCAAAACAAAACAAAACAAAACAAAAAAACCTATGTATGGCTTTCAAGATTATTTTTATACCATAAAAATCTTATACTTTAGTTCTATTTTTCAAAGAATTTTTTGAAGTACCCTAATGTACATAGTTTGGGAATTTAGAGGCCTGACTTTCCCAAGAACCTGTCCAAAGACTGGCTTAGTAGCTAGCTCAAGGGCTCTCAAATGCCAGGAACAAGAAGTAGAGTCAGAAGATTCGGCCCCACAATTCACGTCACATATCTGTCTGAATCCATTTCTTCTTTCTAAAGTGGAGACCCATAACCCTTGACCTTCCTACCACACAGAACTACTGTGGTGATGGAATGAAAGAACAGCCAAGGAGTTGAAGAGAAACTGACACACATATACAGAAAAAGGGGAAGGGGCAATATGGTCTATGTCTGGGCAACCCCCAGTATTGATTCCTGGTCTAGAAGGGAGCTGAAGCGATCATCTCTACACATTGTCCCTGCGATATTCCCCCCAACCCCGTTAACCCAGCTTCATTTAGTCGGACTCACATTCTAGCTCAATACCACAGTCTACACTGCTACCTGGGTCTGCTTTCTCCCAGAAAGTCCCACTATCAGTCTCCTGAGACCCCACTCCCTCTAGCTAGGAGTGCACTTAGTGAAAACAACAGTACTGTGATAAAGCTACAAGGCAATTTAGAGAACTGAAAAACACGAGAAAGCAGTCAGAAGAGAACTGCAGAAAAATCACACATCCTTTTTGCAAATGCCCAGCACCCACTTCCCTCAAGTATGAACACTGAGCGACGCTGCATTATAATGTGGAACAGTTCAAAGAAATGGCAAAGTCCACATTTTTGTTATTTTAGTCATCTTACATGTATTGTTTTTACATTTCTGCACTGTACCCAGAAGTTGATATTTTACTAAATATTAAGCCAGTTATTTTAACCAGAAACTTTTGGGATTTCTTCCCTTCCATGAGAATGACGCCCAGTCCCCAGGCAGACAACTGTATCTTTGGCAGTTCAGTCTAGAGCTGGAAATCAGGGAGTTCTAGCAACATGACAATTTCAGAACGGAAATAAGGGAAACAGGCTCAGATTCTCTCTTGGCAGAGATGCGCTTTGAAGAAAATCCTTACTCATTGGAGATCCTGTCCTCTACTAACCACGGTAATTCGTAATGATTCCAAATTTAATTCAAGAGTTATAAGAATAGTACGAGATAGAATTATTGCACAGAACAATTAAAAATAGAGAGCTATTTGTATTAGACTATTGAGAGCTCTGCTCTATAATTCACCTAAGATGAGGACAGAAAGGTTTTTTTGATTTCTTAAAAATTATTTTATTTAACTTTATGTATTTATTTTAATTTGACCAGAGAGGGACAGAGTGAAAGAGAGAGAGAGAAAGAGAGAGAGAGAGAAAGTGAGAAAGTAAGCTACCAGGTCTGGGACTAAAGCCGTGGTTGGCCATGTGAGTCCAGTGCCCTTAGCCACCATGCCACCTGCTGGTCTAACAGAAAGGTTTTAAATGTTGATCCTAAGCTATAATCAGAGGAGAGAGGACGATTACTCCTAATACTGCCTAATACGGCAGGAGTCAGGGATTGACAGCTGGCATTGAATACACAAGCGTCGGGATGTTACCTCCCTCTCTTCCACTCTTCCCAACTGAGTGGATACACTTCGGGCTGTCCCCCTGAGTGGTGTACCCACAAGGACAGCTTCAACCTATTTCCATTGTCTCTTTGTCTACCCACAAGCCCAGGCCACTCAAATTTGTCCCCTGCCATCACCCGCAGGCTGGAAAAGAACATGCCAGCCCACCGCGCTGGAAAAATTGTCCCTTTTCTTCAAGGTCAAAATGGTGCACAATTCCAGGGTCACGTGCATATATGCTGCATAGATTGTGTATTAAAGCCAGATCCCTCTTCCTTCCTCACACTTTTCATCCCTTCGGCTGGCAGGGAAAGAAGAAGGAGAGAAGCAATAAACCTGTCTTTCTTCTTCATTCACTTCTTTTTTTTTTTTTTTGCTATAGGGCGCGTGCACTCACCAGACAGAGACATAGAGACAGAAAGTGAGAAATCACCCCCCAGCGGGGATGGTCACGCCGCAATCCCTGCTCCTCCATTCTCCTCTTGAGATCTTGGGCACGCACGCACACGCGCCCGGCGTGAGTTTTAAGCCACTGGGTCCAGGACTTGAAACGTGGTCAACTACATGAGAGTCCAGAGACATAACCATTACACTAACTGCTGGTTCCCCTTCATTCACTTCTTATGAGCTCAGGAATTTGATCATTGGTTAAAGGCTACTGATTCACACTTTAAAAATCAAAGCTGGGGCTAGCCGCATTCCACAGTGGTTAGGCATTGTGCTGAGGAAGATGGATCCCACATGGCCAACCAGGGTAGAATCCCAGCCCCACGGGTTTGAAAAACATGCCAGGCACACACAGGCTCAAGATCCTGACAGGATAAAGAAGTGGAGGAAAAATGATTGCAGTATGGCTGCCCCTTTGGGGGATGCTTTCTCTCCCTTTCTCTCTCTCTCTGTCTCTGTCTCTCTCTCTCTCTCTGATGCACATACACAACCTCTGGCATTTGAAAAAAAAAAAAAAAGCAAATCCAACAGCTGGACAGGACACAGTGGTAAAGCACGACACTGCACAGCAGACTCACGTGGGAAGTTTCGGCTCCAGGTTTGTGTCTAGAGACCTCCTTGAGTACTCCCAGTGCGTATGTGCCCATGACCGAGGTTGGTTTAGGCTGGGGGTGGATCATGGTGTCAAGACCCTGTTGAGGGAGGGGGTATTGTCACTGTCTGTGTCACATTCATAGAAAATAAATAAATAAACTTTTTTTTTCCTTTTTTTGGAGAGGTTTTTGCTACAGGGCGCGTGCACTCACCAGACAGACAGAGACAAAGACATAGAAAGTGAGAAATCACCCCCCATGGGTGATCCCATGGGGGATGGCCACACCACAATCCCTTCTCCTCCATTCTCCTCTCGGGGTCTTGGGCACACACACATACGCCTGGCGTGAGTTTAAGCCACTGGGTCTGGAACTCGAATTGCAGTCGACTACATGGGAATTCAGTGACATAGTCATTACGCTAACTGCTGGTCCCAAACTTTTAAAAAATAAAACAGAATTCAACCACAGTCCAAGTCCTGGACCTGGTGGTTTGAAAATCACTCTGGGCACATGTGCATGCATGCCCAAAATCTAGAGAGGATAATGGAGGAGACAGGATTGTGGTATAGCCATTCCCCAGGTGGGCGTTGAAGGGATGATTCCTCACTGGCTCTCTGGTAAGCGCATGCGCCCTATGGCAAAAACCTTAATGGACAACAATAGAAAACAGAATAAAAGTCAAAGCTCACACAGTCCATCTGTACATTCGCATACTGGCTGTAGGCCCAGTGCTGCTAATGTCTAATGCTTCATGGTTCGTCGTGACACAGTAACAGTCATGGTTTCTGGGGTTGTAGCTAAGAGGGAGGTCACCACAATTGCCCCCTCTCCCCTGCAACACATGTGGACTCTGGTCGGGCCTTAGGCTGGATATTGCTTCAACCATCGTTTCTACACTACCACCAAATTTCTTCCTTTCTTTCTTTTTTTTTTATTTTTAAGTTTTTGCTATAGGGCTCATATGCTCTCCAGAGAGATACAGAGACAGAGAGAGAAGAGGGAAAGTGAGAAATCATCCACAAGGAGGATGGCCATGCTGCAATTCCTTCTCCATTCTCCTCAGGATTTGGGGCACACATGCATGCAGGCCCAGTGTGACTTCCAAGCCATTGGTCCAGGACTTGAACCACAGAGTCAGCTATGAGGGATCCAGCACCTTAATCTCCACGATACCTGCTGACCCTACTACCACCAAATTTCTAAAGGAAGGCACAGCATATCTTATTTATTTATTTATGAGAGATTTTTGCTAGGGCACATGTGCTCTCTGAAAAGATAGAGACAGGGAAACAGAAAGCAAGATCTCACCCCCCCAGGGGGGATGGGTATGCCACAATCCCTTCTCCTCCATTCTCCTCTCAGGAGTTTAGACACACACACACACACACACACACACACACACACACACACACACACACGCAGCAGGAGTTTTAAGCCACCAGATGCGGAACTCAAACCACAGTTGTTTACATGTGAGTCCAGCAATGTAACCACTCCGCCATCTGCTGGTCCCAGCACAGCACATTTTTAGAAGATGCTTAGTTATTTAAAAATTAGACAAAAGAAGAACAATCTAAATTATAGATGCATTTATTGGAACACACACATTACATTTGAATATTTATTAAGTTGCTGGGAGAATCATCACATATTTTTCCATCTTTTTCTATGCCAAAATGCATCATGACTTTTCCAATGACCCAATAGGACAGTTGGAATTGTATCAAAGCAACACTGCCTAACCGACAACAGTGTGGGGAAGTTACTGGAGTGATCAGACTAGTACCTTTTCTAATTAGCATATCAATTAATTGTAGGAAAAGGGCTACTTCTAAAGTGCTTAAACCTTCTGTTCATGTTGGGGCCAGCAGGTGGCATGGTGGTTAAGGCACTGGCACTGGACTCCCATATGGCCAACAGTGGTTCGAGCCTCAGACCTGGCAGGTTGAAAATCTATGCATGCCCAAAATCTCACAAGGAGAATGGAGGAGACGTTCACTGACTTCCTTCATAAAGTCAAAGCCTAACCCAAGCTTAAGCCTATGTCATTGCATACTGTAAAAGAATGGACTCTGAATTTATTAACAGAGATACTATTAAGGAGGGTGAAGAGACACTCTCACATTCAATGTCTAGAAGATCTGACTCTCAGGCATCACTTAGAGGAAGTCTCAGCCCAGATCTGTATGATCTTAGCCTGTCATCAATGTTACATTGTTCCCAGAATGCACAGTTAGCTGGTCCGGTAGCAGGAAAGACACCAGGAATTCCTGAGTTTTCTCCTTTTGGAGGACTCCAAAGAGATGGCAACCATCTTGAATCCAAGTTGAGAATGGAGAAAGTTTCAGGGGCCATGTCCCCCTGGATGGGAGCCACAGGGGACATCTATCAGGCCTCTGAGACGCTGTCAGAACATCTGTCCAGGAGTAGTGCATCCTTCCCACGCAGTGCCCACGTAAAATCTAGACACGGAAAAGACAAAGGGACGATCACGAACACACACTAATTCTCCCATTGTGGTTCCCTGTGTGCAGTTCAGACATGCCTGAGATGGGGTGAGGGAACAGCATGGGAGATCAGCCACCTCTGTGTGTAGCCAGGCACCTACACTGTCCCTCTTCTGGGGGGCCAGGAGGGAAACTCTCTTCCTCCCCTGGTCTGCAGGATCAGCCATGCCTTTTCCATCTCAGAGTGTCCTGCTGAGTCCAGGACAGACTCCACCCATGGCCCCTTTGACCCGCCTCATCCCCAGCTGTTCTTCCTGACTCCAACCCCGTCCTCCACTCCATTCCACTCATTTCTCAAAAATGTCAATCTCACATACCACACTGCTGAGAAGGAGAGGAATGCAAGAACAATCACAACAGCCACGGAGCCCAGGCCGACACCCACCATCTGCTGCAACGTGAGTGACGAATCTACAACAGAACCACACACTGAGCCCACAGTGCACAGCATCAAGGCCCTCCAAGCATGGAGGTGCACCCAACCATGCTCATTCCATTTTCACCCAGAGCCTGGCCTCATTTAACAAAGAATCCCAAGAATGCCCAGAGTGCTTTTTTGCCCCCTGAATTGGCCCTGCAAATGTAGGGCCTCAGGAAACCACAGGTCTAGGGTATTTTTGAAAAGGAAATACAAAACCAAACCATGTTAAAGTTATAGGGGAGAAAGAATGTATGATCATGTTGAGCAGACAAATCCTACACACATGCCCGATATGTGACAGGCTGACCTGGCCAGGCATTCAAACCACAGTCTCCACGTGGGATCCAGCTTCTTTCGATCAGGGCATTACAACTGCTCCATGAAACCAGCCCTCTTCTCTTCAAGATTCTCAGAGGTCACTTGCAATGGCTTGTCCATCACATTTGAAAATTCCATGAACCTGCTAGAATGTGCTTCACCCAGGTCGGAGGACTTTGGGGCAGTTGACTTTTCGCTGCTTTCAAATACCCCCTCATACACCAAAGGACAGAAATACAGTGTAGGAGTTGAGGAACTTGACTTCGTCTTGACCATCCACCAGAGACTCCACCCCAAGCAGGGGGCCCAGCTACTGAAATTTCTTACTTAAGACATTAGGGAGGAAATAACCTTTATTTATTCTATATAGTGCAATTTAGGTTTTGGCTCTAGGCATGATTCTTGCTGGTAAAACAGTTCCTGGTTATGCAGTCTTTCTGGCTATTTTGCATATCTACTCTGAAAATCTGAGTCAGTCTATTCAAAAGTACTCATGGGTTCAGCCAAACAGGCTTCTCTAGGCAGGTCCTCCATTAATGCCTTACAGAAAAATTTACAACTGGCCAATCTGAAATTCATTTTTATAGTCTTGTTATCCTCTGGTTACCCTCCCTTCCATGGTCTCACACTATGGAATCATGCTTATTTGTCTTCTGAATCACTTGTGAACTATTAGAAACCCAAATGAGTGAGTCATGCATTGTATCCAGATGAAAGACTCATTCTAAAGTCCACTCTTTTCCTTAAGGTGGTTCCTTTAAGAGGGAGACTGCCCAGGAGGACTGGGGGGTGGGGGGGCTCTTTGGGCTTGTCTTTAACCCTTTCACTAACAGAAATATCATAGTTGCTGAAGAGGAAGTTAGAAAGGCCTGATTCTCACTCTCAGAATTTATCACAGCTTGAGGACTTTCTATGGGTGCAGACTTTTTTCTTGAATTTACATAGGCATGGTTACTTCCTGAAAGCAACAATTCTGTTCCAAATGGTACCATAAGTTAGCACTGGGACTTTGATTTACTGTGTTCAATTTCTCTTTGCTGTTCTAGGTCTTCTCCCTTGAATCCCCTGCACAACAGGAGATGGCAAAGGAGATCAAAGCAGAAAACTATTTCAGAGAGAAGAAATGCTTGATAAATCACCAACACTGCTGTGTTCATTTTCAGCTGCAACTTAGCAGAGTACCATAATCGTAGATGGCTACAAGCCATTTACTAACTTACAATTCTGTGGTCGGAATGTAAGCACACCAAGACTGGTTCTGTTTGGGGTCATACAAGGCTGAAATCAGTGTCAGGCAGTCTCCATTTCCTTCTGGAGGCTCAACAGGAGAAGAATCTGCTTCTGCACTTACTCAGGCTGTTAGCTAAATTCAGTTCACTGCAGTTGAAGGGTTAAGGTCCCCATTTTCTTACTGGGTGTTAGCCAGAGGGCATTCTCAGCTCCTACAGGCCACTCACAGTCCTTGACATGTGGCCCCCTCCACCTTCAAAGCTAGCAGGAAAGTGTCCTTGTGTCAGATTTATCTTACCCTTTGATTCTCCAACTCCCTCAGTCTCTAACTTCTCTAACACAGAGTTAAAGGGCTCGTATGATTAGGTCAGGCCCAGCTGGAAAAAAAAATACAAATCTATCTCTCTCTCTCTCTCTCTTTTTTTTTTTTTTTAATTCACTAGAGGGAGCATGCACTTGCCAGAGAGAGACAGAGAGAGAAGGAAAATGAGGAAACGCCAGTCATAGAGAATGATCGCCCTGCACTTCCCTCTCCTCCACACCTCCTCTTAGAATTTTGGGCACACACGCACATGCACCTAGCAAGTTCTTCAAGCCACCAAGTCCAGGAGTTCAACGGCGCGATCGGCCATGTGGAATACAGCTGCATTCATCATCATGCTACCAGCTGGCCCTGGGATCTGAATTACATCTTCAAAAATCCCATAACAGCCACACCTAGAATGGTCTTTGACTGAATAACTGAGAGAAAGTAGAGATGAGATCAGCCAGCGGCAGCTAGATTCCACATGGCCGACCGTGCAGTTTAAGTTCCAGACCTGATGGCTTGAAAAACACACTGAACACAAGCACATGAGTGCCCAAAATACTGAAAGGAGGAAAACATGGAGGAGAAGTAATTTGTGGCATGACCATGACCATCCCCCATGGGCAGGTGCATTCTTACTCTGTCTCTCTCTGCTGAGGGCACACGCCCTCTGGCAAATTTTATATACATATAGTATTTATATAGTATAATGTGTGTGTGTGTATATACATATATAAATTATATGTATTAGGTATGTTCCAGGGCTTAGAAATTTGGGAAGCTTTCTCAGAATTTTGCCCATTACAACTGTGAAAGTTTAAAATGACTGTGTGTGTGTGTGTGTGTGTGTGTGTGTGTGTGTGTGTATTCATCCACAGCATATAGATATATTATGCTTCAATTCCCATCAAACTGAGTGCTGGTTCCCTGGTAATCATTCACCGCAATTCAGTGACTTCTCATGGAGCTTCTAGTGTGTGCCAAGCACTGTTCCAACTCTTCGGATTCTCTCCTTAGAGGGTGTGTGTGTTAGTAGGAAAAAAAAAAAAAAAAAAAAAAAAACAAGACAAGTGCACTACTGCTCTAAAGTATGGCAGAATGATTAAAGACAAGGAATAAGGGAGACACTATCTTATTGAGGAAATATAAAAAGCCTCAAGTAGCAGCCAGCAGGTGGGGTCGTGGCTAAGGCACTGGATTCCCACATGCCTGACTGCAGTTTGAGTTCTAGATACAGTGGCTTGAAAGTCATGCTGGGCACATGTGCGTGTGCTCCCAAAATTCCAAGAGGAGAATGGAGGAGAAGGGAGGAGAAGGGATTGTGGTGTGGCCACCCCCTCCCCGCAAAGCTGATTTCTCACTTTCCCTCTCTCCATCTCTCTCCAGGGAGCGGATGTTCCCTGTGACATAAATCTAAACAAGAAAAGCTTCAGGGGGTAGAGAGCATTTGGTTCTAATCTTGAAGAAAAGGTGGAATTGTAATAAGCAGAGATTTGCAGGCTATAGGACAATCCAGGTGGAAGACATCAAGTCACGGTACGAGCAAAGACAGGAAGGAGAAGAAGCACGGACTATCCCAGAGAACGGCTGGCCCTTCCATGTGAATGGAGAGGAGTGAGAGATGCAACTGGAAGGGTATGCTGGTATTAAAGCTGTGGAAGCCAGACTTCCACAGAGAACCATGGAAGAGGAAATAATAAAATTGATGCTACAATTTAGAAATGTGTCAGATGATGGTAAGCAGGCTGGAGTAAAGAGAGAAATCCTGAACTCAGATGATGGGTATGAGCTCGGAATCTCTGCCAGCCGTCCGTGCAGGTATGAAGGCCTATGCTCAGAGAGTGGACAAAGAAATGAAAAAATCAGAGAGGGCAGCCAGAGGTGAGCTTGAAGAGAGAAAGGAGGGGCCAGCAGGTGGCGCGGTGGTTGGGGTGCTGGACTCCCACATGGCTGACGGTGGTTTGAGCCCTGGACCTGGTAGCTTGCTTTCTCACTGTCTCTCTCTCTCCCTCCCTCTCTCCTCTCTGATCAAATTAAAAGACAGACAGGAAGAAAGGAAGGAAGGAAGGAAGGAAGGAAGGAAGGAAGGAAGGAAGGAAGGAAGGGGAGAGAAAGAGAGAAAGTTAAGTAAAATAATTATTTAAAAGAGACAGAGAGAGAGAGGAGTGGTCACTAATGATCGAGAGCTTTCATGCCCATGACTGGAGAACGTTCCCTGATTTTAGCTTATTATCATCTTGTGTATATCAAACGACCTTGCTCTGTGACTCAAGAAATCTCAGACTCAGAGCACTTTGTGGCTGCAAAGGACATCAGAGATCACGGAAGGAGGTGACTGGGAACCAGCCAAGTTAAATAGCATTTCAGAAACACGGCTGATTAATATGAGGGCTCAAGGCTGCAGGCTAGCTGGTGAGCATCACGAAGCTCTTTCAGGGGTAGTAAGTAAAGGGCACATAGCATCATTCACCACAGGGCAGAGGTCAGGACGGGCCAAGGCTTGGCATCAGTCAACTGGAATAATTCCAGAACTATTTTGGATTCCAGTTTAATTCTCAGATTACTTTCTAAAAGAGCGGACTCCAATTTTTTTTGGAAAAGGAGACTGCCAGAGACAGGTCTACAACACAGGTAAATTTTATACATAGATAAATTGAGGTTAGAATTGCCTATATTTATTTCAAAGTAACAGTGGGTTTCCTATTATCTTCTAGAGTTTTCCAGCGGTTGGAATTCAAAGGCTCAAACTCTCTTTCAATATTGGTTCTTAAACTGAGGAGAGACAAGGGTACTGCCAAAAGGCACTTAGATATTTTCAAAGCAAAATCCTTCCCGTTAACTTGATCACAGTGGAATGACTGCAGCCAGTTCTTTGGCTATTTCTTCAACCCACTTTGAATGCTTTCCAATCATATTAAACACTTGCTGAGTACAGTGGATCCTGGAAGCTGTTGTTTCTGTGTCTGGAAGGTTGCACATCTTAGTTCTGATAAAAAAATAAAATAAAATAAAATAAAAGCACCTCTCTTCCTTGTGAGAACTGCATTCCCAGCCCTGGAGCTTTGGGGAATAGGTTGGCAAAAAAATGTCTGAGTGATGGCTGGCCTTGGTGAATTGCCAGGAATGTAACACTTGGTGAAGCGGGTCTCATGTGGGAGGAGCCCAGGTTGTTTTACAGAGGTCTTCCTGTATACACCAGGCTTGTGCACACATGCCTACGATCCAGACTGGCTAAGCTGGGGATGGACTGCAATGTAAGGGCCCTCTAGGGAGCACCTGTCTCTCTATATCATTCTGTCTCTCATGAGAGAAATGTGATAAACTAAACTTAAACAAGAAAGAAAGAAAGAAATCCAGACACTGGCATGATGTTAGGGTGGCTGGATCCCACATGGCCTGCTATGGGGTTCAAGTCCCAGGCTTGAAAACTCACACTGCATGCAGGTGCATGCATGCCCAAAATCCTAAGAGGAGAATGGCAGATAAGAGATTGTGGTGGGGCTACCCACTTCGGTGGGAGCAGAGTGCTTTCTCACTTTCTTTCTCTCTTTATCTCTCTCTCTGGGAAGCACGCCCACTCTAAGGCAATTTTTTTTTTTCAGAGAGATTTTTGCTATAGGGTGGGTACACTTGTTGGAGAGACAGAGAGACACAAAGAAAGAAATCAACCCCCGGCAGGATGGCCATACCATAATCCTTTCTCTCAAAATCTAGGGATTTTGGGCATGCACACACACGTGCCTGGCATGAGTTTTAAGCCACCATGTTTGGTACTCGAACTGTGGTTTGACTACATGGGAGTCCAGTGACATAACTGTTACGCCATCTCCTGGCCCCTCCATGGCAATTTTTTTAAAAAGGAAAAACAATTTGCAGATGTTGGAACATGTGGAGGTTTCTCAGGGCCTTTATTAAACTCCTACAAGACAGGGAGTGTGGCCATCAGCACACAGCCCCAGAACAGCACACATCTTTGTTAAGAAAGGCTCTTGCTTCCTGGCAATGAGTAATCCAAGATGGCTGAAGGCAGGTAATTCATCTTGCCCAGGTGAAAAGTCAAGTCCTCTGCTTATTGGTTTCCATAGAGCTAAGCTGATGGTTAAGGCAGCTGGATACCACATGGCCAACAGGACAGTTCAATCCCAGATCTAACAGCATGAGAAACACGCTTGGTGTGTGGGCACGTGTGTCCCAAACCCCAAAAGGAAAGAGAAATGAGGAAGGAATTGCAGCATGACCATGCCTCATGGGGGTGGGGAGGACAGGCTTTCTCCTCTCCCTATGTCTCTCCATCTCTTTCTGGTGAACACATGTGCCCTCTAGCCAAAAAAAGGAAAATAAGATTGGGAGAGAGGGCTGGTCAACCCTATAACCTAGTGATTGAGGGATCTGGATCCCACATGGGGGGGCCACAGCTTGAACCCCACCCTGGCAGTTTAGAAAACATGCCAGGCACATGTGTGTGTGTGTGTGTGTGTGTGTGTGTGTGTGTGTGTGTGCGCATGCCCCAAATCCTGACAGGATGGAGAAATGAAGAACGGACTGCAGCATGACCACACCCCACATAGGGAGTACTCCTTGCGTGTGCACACACACACACACACACACACACAACACGCACATACACACACACCACCTCTGGTAAGGACATATGCCCTCTGGCGATTTGGAAAAAAAAAAAAAAAGATTAGTGGAGAAGCAAACCAATGGAAGAAGCTTAAATTCCCAGGGCTCCCCCAAATATTCACTGCAAAGTACCTCTACTGACAGGATAGTAAATCCCCCATTGTAAAGTATATCCCCAGGCATCCTCCTGGAAGCAGGGCTATACCAGTGCTTCTTCCCTCACCAATACATTGTTTTATGTTGCTCTGAAGTAGGGGACAGGATGCAAGGGGTTAAACTGATACTGTGGGCTAAGCACAGAATTCTCAGCCTGTTGCTAGGATTCATTAACCAGAAGAAAAAGGTTCAGATTCAGAGGTCATTAGCTTGACAAGATTCCTGGTATTAACTACGAACTAATAGAATTCCTGGGAATCAAATCCACTGGCTGGCTGCCTGCTAGTTACAAATGCGCTGCCCAGGGAAATCCCAAGCTTGGCCCACAAGGAGCTGAGACTGCTCAAACCCTGCAGCAATTCCCCTGCCTGCCTGGGCGACTCCACTAAGGTGAGGTAGATGGTTTAAGCTGCACAGCCCTCAGCAGAGATCCTTGCTCTGCATTTCTTCAGAAAGACTGGAGGAAATGTACAAGGGGTTCTCTCCCATCAGACAGACCCAAACTGGCTGATCAAGTGGCCTGTGCTGCTGTCCTGGCAGGGAACGCTGGCCTTTCCTGTCCGGCAGGATGTGACCATGATTCTGGGTCCCTACCTCTGCCCTCTACTTTATCAGTCCCTCCTTTATAAATGAGAGCACTGAGGTTATACGTGTTCCCTTCCATATTATTAAGCTGTGGTCTGAGAACAGTTAAATCTGCCCTTTAGTCATAGATTGCCAAACAGATCATGAGAAGCACATCTGGACTTAATCAAGAGGGACGTTTCTTCCTCAGGATTCCTGCTCTCGGGCTGGATGTAGTAACACGGTCGTTTCTGAGTTGTTTTCCACTGGGGTTCCATTTTTTACTGTACATTAGGGTAGTTCCATTTTGTTCAGGGCGGTTTTCCCTGCGTGCATGCGTGCCTATGTGCTATGGTGGAGGTCGTAGAATGTGGTTGGTACCTCTAGCCTGGTAGCATGTTTTCCTGCCACCCTTTTCTTTTTCTTTTTCTTTGGTTGGGGGGAGTTTTTGCTATAGGACATGTGCACTCGCCAGAAAGACAGAGAGAGACAGAAGACAGAAAGTAAGAAATCACCCCCCCCCGGGGGGGGGGGGGGGAGGGGGCACGGGGGGGGGGGGGGGGAATGGCCACGCTGCAATCCCTTCTCCTCCTTTCTCCTCTTGGGATCTTGGGCATGAGTTTAAACCACTGGGTCTGGGACTCGAACCGCGGTCAACTACGTGGGAGTCCAGCAACATAGCTATTACGCTAACTGCTGGTCCCTTACAACCCTTTTCTTGATGGAAATCTTTTTTTTTTTTTAACTATAGGGTGCATGCACTCACAGGAGAGAGACAGAGTAGGAAAGTGAGAAATCAACTTCCAGGGTGGCCATGCTGCAATCCTTACTCCTCCATTCTCCTGCTGGGATTTTGGGCATGGACGTACACATTCCTAGTGTGATTTTGAAGCTGCCAGGTCTGAGACTTGAACAGTAGTTAGCCATGTAGGCATCCAGTGCCATCCCAAGAGGAAACTGGAGGGACTGAGGTGTGGCCATCCCCCCATGGGGGGTGATTTCTTGCTTTCTGTCTCTCTGTCTCTCTGGCAAGCACACATGCCCTATAACAAAAATATCTTTTAAAAAAGAGGGAATTCAGTGCCTTAATCAGTATGCCACCTGCTCACCCCCTTGATGGGGATCTTATCTCCTTAGAGTACAACCCTAGTGGAGCTTTTGGTCATACTGCTCTGCTCCTAACCAGTCTTGAGTAAGCATAAAACCCAGGTAGGCCCATCATAGTGTCCCATCTGCCCTTTATAGTGATTCATCTAACAGATAGGCAACAGAACCAGGAGGAAAGAGTCCTTCCCTGAATTAACAAACCTTCTGTTCCCACTGAAGTGGCTGAGCTAGGGCAGCTCACCATCTCTCCCCATCACATGGCCTACAGTAGAGAAACAGAGAGCAGAAACCAGAGACAGAACGAGGAATCCACTCAGGGTGTAGCATCCCACATCCCAGTTCCTTAAGCCCTGGTGGTGTACCAGAGGTCTAATTCCGTAAGCTCCACCCCTCGCCCTTCTCATCCCCATCCTTTCAGTTATAACATTTTGCTTAAGCTAGTATGAGTTGGGTTTCTGTCATCTGTGACCATTTGAAGAAGAGCTCTCATTAACATAAACTTGATGGTATGAATCGAGAGGGGAGAATGAGAACAATATTCATAGGCAGAAAATGGTTTTACCTTTTATCTGAGCCCAAACTGCACAGGAGTATCTTCTCACCTACAAAGAAAAACACAGCAAAGCATTCAGTGAGGTGGCACATGGTGTCAGTTTAAATAATACAGCTCAGAGGCTGGAGCCTTCTGAGGTCAGCTTTTTTTCATCTCTTAATTTGAATAGGAGGTCTTTAAAGTCCCACTTATCTCTAATATCTTTTGATTTAGCCACATATCACAGTGATCAAAGGACTGGCATGGGTAACAGGGACAGAAGTGACCTTAAAGATCATTTCTACAGGTTTTCAATAGATCTCAGAACGCATACACTATGGATAAACAACGAGAATGGCAGCAGGTTCATTTCCTTGCTAATCTGAGCAATGGACGTTGACTGCCTGGAGATCTATTGTGAAAAGAATTTGGAGGCCATGTCCTGTATGAGTGAGAAGTAGTGACGCACGATATAGGTGAAGCTATGAGAAGGCCTGGTATATAATTATAATACTTCACTTGTTTGGATATCTTGCAACCTCAGGTACCCAAAATATATCCAAAGAGCGAGCAAAAAAGCAACAAGAATGTCTGTGAAAGTTCATTCACAATGAAAGAAACCCACAAATTCGATGGGATGAGTCACTTCCTCTTCTCTCTCATCATCAGTATATACATATTTACCTGGTAGGAATGTCAAAATTATTCCTAGTTTTCTGTTTGAGCAAAGAGGAGCATAGTGCCACTATTTATTGGGACAAAGACAAAGAAGGAAAAACAAAAGGGAGGAATTGGAAGATTCGTATTTCCTGATTTTAAAATCTACTACAAAGCTATAGTAATCGAAACAGTGTGGTACTGAGATAAAGACAAATAGATCAATAGAATAGAATATAGAACCCAAAAGTAAATCCTTGCATCTATATCTAATGTTTTCTGACAAAGGTGTCAAGAGAAAAAAATATTTTTCCAACAAATTTCAACAAATGATGCAAGGAAAACTGATTATCTATTGCAAAAGAATAAAGCTGAATCTTTACCTAGCTCTATATGAAAAAAAAATTACTCAAAATGAATTTAAAAATCTAAATATAAGATATAAAACTATGAAAATCTTAGAAGATAGCATAGAGGAAAAGCTTTATGAAATTAGATTTGTCAGTGATTTCTTGGAGATGACACCAAAGGCACAGATAATAGAAGAGAAAATAAGGATTTCATCAAAATTAAAAACTTGTGTATCAAAGAATGCTAGCAAGAGAGTAAAAATGCAACACACAAAAAAGGAAACAAAATGTTTGAAAATTACATAGCTCATAAGGGATTAAGACCCAAAATATATAAAGAACTCCTAAAATTCAATGACAACAAAAATAAATATCCAATTCAAAAATTAGCATAGGACTTAGGGCTGGCTTCATGACACAGTTGTAATGAGGTGCTCAAAAGAAGCCAAATCCCACATGGTGATCACAGTTCAAATCCCTGGTCCAACCAGCCTGAAATATACCAGGTATGCACATATGTGCCCAAGATCCCATGGGTCGGAGGACTACAGGAAAGGGAAAGTAGCATGATCAGACCCTGTGGAGGGTCTCTCTCTCTCTCTTTCTGTGTGTCTCTGTCTCTCTCACAAGAAGAACCCAAACATTTGGTCTATAACAGCTTTTATCATGAATAAAGAAAAACAAAAGAAAGAAAAAGATGGCCATAGAATTTGAATAGATATTTCTCCAAAGATATACAGATGGCAATAAGCTTGTGAAAAGAAGCTCCACATCTCTAAGCATTAGGAAAATGCAAACTAAACCACAATGAGATACCTCCTCACACCCATTAGGATGTCTATTATTTTTTTAATTACTTATTTTATTTTATTTATTAGTCTTCTTTTTGATTTGCTATAGGGCACATGCATTCACCAGAATGAAACAGACAGAAACAGACAGAGAAAGTGAGAAAGCAAGTCGCCAGGTCCAGGACTCAAACACTGATCGACTATATGGGAATCCAGCTCCTTAACCATCACACCACCTGCTAGCCCCAGGATGTCTATTATTCAAAATAATGATGACAGCAAATGTTGGCATGGATGTGGAGAAACTGGAACCTTCGTGCATTACTGCTAGGAATGGAACATGGTGCAGCACTATGGAAAACAGTACAACAATACAGTGATACCTCAAAAAATTAAACATAGGGAACCAGCAGTTAGCATAATGGCTATGTCGCTGGACTCCCATGTAGTTGACCGCGGTTCGTGTCCCGGACCCGGTGACTTAAAACTCACGCCGGGCGCGTGTGCATGCGTGCCCAAGACCCCAAGAGGAGAATGGAGGAGAAGGGATTGCGGCGTGACCATCCCCCCTGGGGGGTGATTTCTCGCTTTCTGTCTCTATGTCTCTCTCTGTCTGTCTGGCGAGCACACGCGCCCTACAGTGAAAATCTCTCCAAAAAAAAAAAAAAATTAAACATAGAATTATCATTTGATCAAACAATTCTACTTATACATACATACAGAATAGACCTAAAAGCAAGGACTCAAATGGATATTTGTGCACCAATATTCATAGCAGCATTATTCAAAATAACCAAAAGGTGAAAGCAATTCAAGTGGCCATAGATGAATGAGCAGAAATGCAAACAGGTGGTATATTGATTTAATGAGAGATTATTCAGCCTTAGGATGGAAGGAAATTCTCACACATGCTACAACATTGGTGAACCTTGAAGACATTATGCTAGTGAAATAAGACAGTCATGAAAGGAAAAATACTATATGAGTCTACTTATTCGAGGTACTTAGAGTAATAAACTGCACAGAGGCATTCTGTCATTCACAGAGGCAGAAAGATGGTTGCCAGGGACAATGGGGAGAGAAGAATGAGGAATTGTCTAATGGGTAGTTTCAGATTTGCAAGATCAAAACAGTTTTAGAGACTGCACAGCAATGGGAATCTACTTAATGCTAGTGAACTATACCCTTAAAAATGGTTAGTATAGCGATTATTTTTATCGCTACTGTCAGGATAGCAATTTTTTTAAAAAATTGCTATAGGAGATGTGTATTCACTAAAGAGAGACTGAGAGGGAGAGATGGAAAGTGAAAATGCATGTTCCATGGTAGATGACTATGCTACAGTCCCTTCTCCTCCACTCTCCTCTTGGGCACACACACATACACACACACACACTGGCATGTTTTTTCAAGCTGCCAGGTCCAGGACTTGAACCATGCATTCGGCCATGTGGGGTCCAGTCACCTTAACCACCACATCACTGGCTGGCCCTAAGATAGCAAATTTTATGTTGTATATATTTTACTGTTACTAAAAATTGGGGGCCAGCAAGTGGCATGGTGTTTAAGGTGGCTGAATTCCCATATGGCCGACCTTGGTTCGAGTCCCAGACCCAGTGGCTTGAAAATCACACCAGCAGATGGTGTAATGGTTATGTCTCTAGACTCCCATGTAGTCGACCAAGGTTCAAGACCTACACCTGGCTACTACAACTCACACTGGGCGCATGTGTGTGTGTGCCCAAGATCCTAAGAAGAGAATAGAGAAGGGAATGTGTTGTGGCTATCCTTCCTCCTCCTTTTCTGTCTCTCTGTCCTTCAGGCAAGCACATGCACCCTATAAAATAAATCTCTCTCTAGAAAAAAAGAAGGAAAGAAAGAAAATCACACCAGGTGTGTGTGCATGCATGCCCAAAATCTCAAGAGGAGAACGGAACAGATTACAGTGTGGCCATCCCATCCCATTGAAGGGGTGATTTCTCACTTTCCCTTTCTCTGTCTCTCTCCTCTCTGTGTGAGCACACACATCCCATGGCAAAACCTAAAACTAAAAAAAAAAAAAAAAAAAAAAAATTAATTAATTAAAATTAGGGTTAGCCCTATAGTCTAATGGTTAAGGGAACCAGATCCCATATGACCAACCATGGTTTCAATTCTAGCCCATGACTTGAAAAAAAAGAAATTAAATAACAAAATGTTTAAAGTAATCATGTGACTGTAACACTAATATATTTGTTTTTTGTTTTGTTTTGTTTATAAAGAATTATTTTCTTTAACTTTATTTATTTTAATTTGACCAAAGAGGGACAGAGCAAGAGAGAAAGACAGGGAAAGTGAGAAAACAAGCTGCCAGCCTGGGACTCAAACCATGGTTGGCCATGTGGGAGTCCAGTGTCCTTAACCACTATGCCACCTGCCTGCCCCATTACTAATATACTTGAAACCAACAGGGAAAGTAATTACAGTTCAAATATACAGGTGCATATATAAATTTTTTCGAAGTCCCTTTGTATCCTATACCATCTTAAAGAAAAAGCACATATCTATTCAATTGTGTAAAAAAACTGTTATCAAGGGGCCAGCAGGTGGCGTAGTGGTTAGGGGTGCTGGACTCCCACATGGCCAATAACACCTTGCTTTCTCACTTTCCCTTTCTCTCTGTCTCTATCTGGTAAAATTTTAAAAATAAGTAATAATAATAAATAAAATTAAGTAGTGCTTTTTAAAAAAACACCCTTTAAAAAAAAACATTTATTTATTTACTTATCTATTTATTTGTTGTGATTTTTTTTCAAGTTGCTGGGTCTGGGACTCAAACCATGGTTGACCATGTGGAAATCCAGCACCTTAATTACAACACTACCTGCTAGCCCCAGCAATCATTGGTTTTACATCAAGCATGTTAATAGCACATTAGATTTGTGTTCCACATAGAATTTAATAGTGTCTGAGCCTTAAATATGAGACAAGCCTTACAGCTGAGATGGCCACATACTTTCATTTCAAATTTAGCAGTCAAGAATTTTTTTTTTCTTTTTTTGGAGATGTGTTTTGCTATAGGGCACATGCGCTCGCCAGACAGAGACAGAGAGACAGAAAGCGAGAAATCACCCCCCAGGGGGATGGCCACGCCACAATCCCTTCTCCTCCATTCTCCTCTTGGGATCTTTGGCATGCACTCACATGAGTTTAAGCCACCGGGTCCAGGACTTGAACAGCGGTTGACTACCTGCGAGTCCAGCGACATAGCCATTACGCTAACTGCTGGTCCCTGCAGTCAAGAATTTTTGACAGTAGGAACATCATTTTTCTGGATTCCAATACCAACCCTTGTGAATTTCCACCAGGTCTAGGGTTCTTCTAGGGCAACCATCACAATGGTTCTTTTATGAGATCTTCTATCCCTGACTGACTGATGCACTTTGGCTATTCTGCTTATCCAGCTCATTATATTTACTAATTATTTAATGAATATTTAGTTCTTTGTGTCATGAAAGAAGACAGTAGAGGGGAAAGTAGGGCTTATACTGTGGTCACGGAAGTGAAATAGCAGAAACATGGCAGGCAGAGCTGTGCTTTATCTGACCCCCTCTCCTGCTTCCCAGGAGGATGATGGGAAGCAGCAGCCTGGCTGGGGTACCAGAAATTGACAGAGAAATCCAGATGCAGTTTCAGCAATGTAACAGAATGAGGGCATTTGTGAAGCTTAAGAGAAAGAATCAAAACCAGGTCAGTTCAAACACAGATTTGACAAGGTGCCCCAGGAAGCTCACGAAGTCTTATTATCTAGAAGGGTTTCACCTGCCATCCTTTATAAAGGTAAAGCATTCAATGTGATGTCATAAACATGTTTTCATGGTTATCACATACATTGTCCAACTCAAATACTGGGGAAACAAGTGCTCAAACGTTCTTATTTTGTGTGAAGAAGAAAATATAGAATTTACAAGAACTTTTAAGGATATATACCTTCTTCCACTTGCTTGTGATTCGTACTATAATGCAGTAATCACTCCCTATTCTCAAGGGCGCGTTATAATATTTCCCGTAGTATAGCCTGTCTCCTACAGCTATGTCCATGGCACCATCTGGAACGTCTTTGGCCAGTAGTTCTGCAGCCACGTATCCACTGTCATCGGAGGTGTTGCCAAAGAATGACTCAGCCTCTTCAGAGTCACAAGAAAATGTGCTTTGGAGGGCCAAGGGAAGCACTAGCACCTGATAGGAACTAAGAAGAAAAAGAAAAAAAATAATAATAATTTTGTTTTGTTTTCAGTTTTTCTATCGATCCTCGCTTGGGGAATCCATTAATTCATTTATTTATATTTATTAGGCACTAGCTATGAGGGACGTACTTCTCTGGCACTGGGAACATAACACTGGACAAGAAGTCTGGCCTAGCAGACAGGGATGCAGAAAAAAACATAACTAGAGTCACACAGGAAGGTTCCTAGTTAGCGTCCTGGGGCCTCCCCATACCTTCTGGGTGCATGGGCGCCTGCGATTCCGGCCGGCTGAGGCTGGAGGTCGACTGCATCATGAAGACCCTGCTGAAGGTGCTGTCTCCCTATCTCTACCCCTTTCCCTCCCTTACTCCCCCACCCCCCTTCTTGGAAGAAAGAAAAGAAAGAAACTTAAAAAAAAAGAAAAAGAAAAAGAAAAGTCCTGGCCCACGTGACATTTACAGCCTGACCAGTGGAACACGCGTTTTTACCTACGGGTGTTCCTGCCAGAGGACACTGAGCAAACGACCTCACCACGTTTAAGCTGCAGGCAGATGCCAAGTACAGCCTCTCTGGCTGTGGGAAGGCGTCGCATGTATCGCCGCCCTGGGTGTATGTCTCCTGAAGTTGATCTAATCTGTGACTTTCACGTGGGCAAATAAAGCCTACTGTGAAGGGGCTCAAGTGGTCACATGGAGGCCAACTGCCTATCCCAGTTAATGTGCTAAGTCTGCAAAGAGGCTGCAGATGATCCCGTGGCAAGTCACGACAGAACCATATGACCGGCATTCGTTGCAGTTCACAGACTGATGCCAAAGTTCACGTGAAATCAATGAGCAGTCAGGAGGGCAAAGTCACCATGACTTAATTCAGCCTGACACCCTGAAACGGCCAGGAGGGGAAGATGTCATGTGTACATGGTGAAACCGCTCCCGAAGGGCGGACATAAAAATATACTAGCCACCAGGTGTCGTTGTGTTGTATGTTTTATTGTTATTTATCCCCAGCAAATTGAAAAATCTGTCAGAGGCAGGAAGTGTAAGGAAAAAAACGCAGTGAGAATGAATCACGCCTTTCTTTCTACGCCCGTCTGCTTGGTGCTTATCTCCTCCGGCCATGCCTCGTGACTGACATTTACCACCTGTACAGACTTGATAGCAGGGATTTGAATGATTTACTCTCTTCCTTTTAAGAATTATTTCCTTTATCATTATTGCTATTTTATTTTTTAATTTGACCAGAGTGAGACACACAGAGAGAGAGAGAGAGCGCAAGCCACCAGGTCCAGGACTTGAACCATAGTCAGCCATGTGGGAGTCCAGTGCCTTTAACCACCATGCCACCTGCCAGTCTGAATGATTTACTCTTGCATCCCTGCAGTCTTTGGCTAAGATCAATTCTGTGAGTGCTTTTGTGTATTTGTTTTTGCTATAGGGTGTGTGCACTCCCCAGAAACAGTGAGAGGGAAAGTAAGACATCACTCCCTCAGGAGGATGGCCATGCTGCAATCCCTTCTCCTCCACTCTCCTGTTGGCATTTTGGGCATGCATACGTGCATATGTGCCCAGCGTGTTTCTCGAGCCATTGGATTCGGTTCTTGAACCATGCAGCCATGTGAGATCCAGCTGCCTTAACCATCACGCCACCAGGAAAAGCATGCGTCCACACTAAATATGATTAGGGCAACTTCCAAAACTCATCTGGCCGCATCATTCTACTATACCAGTAAATTTGCACTTCCTGCTCCCCTTCCATAATGCCACCTCCAGTGTCCCACAGGCCCATGAGTCACAGTCAAGGCCTTGCCCCACAATAGGTGATGAATTTGGAAAATCTCTCAGGTTTCCATACATCCAAGATGCCCTCAGGCCTTGGTCTCCACAAAGTCTGGGCTCTCTTTCAGCAAAGAGCTTTCTACAAAAGAGACCAAGTGAAGCCTGCAGGGCTTGGGTTGTCTCCACCATCACCAGGCACCACTTTCTAAGCCTCCACTGCCTACAGGGAACACCTGTAACAACAAGCCTTCCAAGAACCTGGTGACATCCCTATGAATTGTGGCCCCAGGTAAGAAAGTAGATATTGCCAAAGCCCTATGTCATCTGTAAGCACAAACTTTTTCTTTTTCCTTTTCTTATTTTTCTTTTCTTGGAGAGGTTTTTGCTACGGGGTCTGTGGGCTTACCAGACAGACAGAAAGAGACAGAGAGACAGAAAGCGAGAAATCACCCCCCAGGGGGGATGGCCACACTGCAATCCCTTCTCCTCCATTCTCCTCTCGGGATCTTGGACACGCATGCAGGCGCGCCCGGCATGAGTTTAAGCCACTGGGTCCGGGACTTGAACCATGGTCGACTACATGGGAGTCCAGCGACATAGCCATTTCGATAACTGCTGGTCCCTTTTTTCTTTTCTTTTTTTTTAAGGAGAGATTATTGCTATAGGGAGTGTACACTTGCCCAGAGAGACAGAAAGCGAAAAATCACCTCCTAGGGGGATAGCCACACTGCAATCTATTTCTCCTCCATTCTCCTCTTGGGATTTTGGACATGCATGCACATATGCTTGGCATGAGTTTCAAGCCTCCAGGTCCAGGACTCAAACACAGTAGGCCATGCAGGAGTCCAGCAATGTAACCACTGTACCATCTGCTGGTGCCCGTAAGCACATCTTCCAATGCATCTCATGGTTCCATGCAGGCGGTGGAAGTGCAAGTTCGAGGCTCAGTGGCACCCCCTTGGTTCTATACGTTGTCCTCCAGAGGCATCACTCAAGGGCAGGAAGCAGCTCCCCAGCTGATCACCTGAGTTGCTTGATGACTACACGCATCCCCAGACCCTATCCCAGACCACTAAACCAGTCTCCAAGCAGTCTGGTCTGGGAATTCGTGCTGCTGAGGAAGCAACCCAGGTGGTTCTGATCACCTGACATGCGTGGGTGACACCAGTATTAAGGAAGCCTGGTGACAGGCTGCATCATCTGCCCAAGATCACCAAGTTCAGGAAGGGAGACGCGATCCCAGAGCTTTCGCTCCGAGTGCCCCAGCCACCACCCTAAACAGTGTGCAAAGCAGACTCGGGCCTGTCTCACTCACTGGTAAAGCTGCTATCCCCAGAGCGAGCAGGGCGTCAGGCTGAGAAACCAGCTCGCTGGCCTGCTGGTAACTAGCCCTGACGACACCAGGGAAGCAATTGCAGCTGTTGGGAACATGCCTATTCTGGAAAGGCTTCTCCCCTCGTTCTCACTGCCACCCCCCCCTTGAATGACTCACACATGCCCACTTCCTGTTTAGGAGGCACTGGTCAGCACAGAGCCACAGGGGTAGACTGCCACTTGGCTTTTCTTTTTGCCTTATGCAATGATTTGGCTTAAATATCAATTTGCTCTTGCAAATCCTCAGGAGAGGTGATGTCACAACTTCTGTTCTCCTTACAGCAACAGAGTTACAGAGCCTGCCAGTCCCTTGTCAGAAATCAAGGGACAAAAATATAGACAATGTCTATCCCTGGAAAGACCAGTGGGCGTGCACGGATCTTGAACTGGTAGAAAAGCAGGAAAACCCTGGGTTTCATGAGAAATGGACACACGACTAACATCTCCAGACTTTCTTTTTCATAATGTTATAATACCTCACATATACCTTTACATTGATTGTACTAAAGAGTCATTATCTGGGGGCTGGCAAGTAGCCTGATCGTTAAGGGCACTGGACTCCCACATGGCCAACTACGGTTTGAATCCCGGACCTGGTGGCTTACTTTCTCTCTCTCTCTCTCTCTCTGTCCCTTTCTGGTCAAAGTAAAATAAATCAATAAATCAATAAAAAAGATAAATAAAATAATTCTCATAAAAATAATCATCAATAAAATTAAATATTTATTTTTTTTAAAAAGTCATTATCTGAAGCATCAAGAGAAAGACAGACAATTAGGTTAGGCTAGCTACGTGGTCCTCTCGTGGACCTGGAATGTGATCAAGGTGCTCATTTCTCTCAGCCAGTCACCATCTTTCTCCCTAAAAAAAAAAGGTCTGATTTTACTTTCTGAATCCTGCCATGAACTTTGTTTGTTATTGTTGGAGAGGGTTTTTGCTATAGGGGGCATGTGCTCGCTAGAAAGGGAGAGACAGAGAGATAGAAAACAAGAAATCACCCCCCCAGTGGGGGATGGCCATGCCACAATCCCTTCTCCTCCATTCTCCTCTCAGGATCTTGGGCACGCATGCACACGCACCCGGTATGAGTTTAAGTCACAGGGTCCGGGACTCGAACCGTGGTCGACTACATGGGAGTCCAGAAACATAGCCATTATGCTAACTGCTGCTCCCCCTGCCATGAACTTTGTAAATAAAATGTTTAATTGAACT